TCTGAAATGCAAATTAAGAAGTCAGTTGAAACAGGCGAAAGAGACTTTCATCACCTTTGAAAAAGCAGAATCTTATCTCACAGGTTTCTAAAAATTCCCTGTGTAACTATGGTTAGGATAACAGTCACATTCCTTACTGGCTCACAGCAAAACACTGCCTAGCTTTTTATTTTTTTTCTGGAAATCTTCTGAATTACGCCACAATTTATGATGCTAGATAATAGGACTTCCAGTTCTTAGACAGTGAATTTAAAAAGTAGTTTACCTGGGGAGGCCAGTAGTGGCTGCTGGGGTCAGGATGACAGCACCTTGGTGACCACACTGTGTGTCTGGGTGTCACTGGGTGCATTTTGGGTACTCAAGGTAAGGGAAGAGCAGCGGTCAGCCCAGACACTCCTACAGCACTGAGTGCTTCTGCTGTTCATGAGTGCTTCCTCATCGCTCTCCCACAGGTTCTGTACAGGTGGAACAGGCAGAGCAGCGCATCAGTGATTGAAACCAACAGGACCTCTGTGGAACTCTCCCTGCCCTTTGACGAGGACTACATCATCGAGATAAAGCCCTTCAGTGACGGGGGCGATGGCAGCAGCAGTGAGCAGATCCGGATCCCAAAGATCTCAAGTAAGGCTGGGGAACAGGTGCCCCTCTGCTCCGTTTCACCCCAGGAGCAGCCAGCAGGACTTGGGCATGGGCATCATGCCCTGGGAGGGGGCAGAAATTCAGCATTCAGCAGCAGCCCAGCTCAGGGTCCTGGCTCCAGCCTGAGCCAAGTTTAAAATATGAGGAAACGCTGCCATAAGTGCTTACGGTTGTGTTTAAGATTTCTGCACACTTTCTGCTCTCCTACTTTCGTACTCATATATACTGAATATATTGTTTCACTGCAATTCACTATAACAAAATATAAAATGCAGTGTTCGGAGACTTTTAAATTTATAAGGCTACTATATGGCAATATTCCATTCTGTGTTGGATGCATAAATATTTATTTAGGGAAATGAGGTTGTGCAGAAGAACAAACAGAAAAGAGAGTATTTTATTACTCAACATTGCTTTTGCAAAATCTCCATGTCCCATCTTCCATTAATAATACCGCCGTTTATAAGCTGCATTAAATCAGCTGCCTCTGCAATGCAGGAATGTGGCATTAAAATTACAGCGATGTGAAAAACCATGGATGAGATTGGAATTATCTCCCCCTGGTTGTGTGCTGTGGCCATACAAACCCTGCAGAGGGATTTCATCAGCAGACACAGCAGAGCAGGAGCGCACGCCAGTTCCTATTTGGCTCCATGCGGGAGCATCCCTGTAGGATCCTTTAGGATCGTCCTGTAGGATGTGGATTGGGCCAGACTGGTGCTGTAAATAACAGCTTGAAAGTAGGAGAATTATAAAGAGAAACGTGGGAGAAGCCTCAGCATAACAGCAATGGGGATTTCAGTGGGCAGAGGGGGTGGTGGTGGGGCATGGGGACCGGGCAGGGCTGCGGGCTGAGGGTTTGCAGTGCTCTCCTGATCTCCCCTCTCTCTCTGCTCAGATGCATACGCAAGAGGAGGCAGCTCTTCGACCTCCAACGCCTGCACACTGTCGGCCATCAGCACGATAATGATCTCGCTCACAGCTCGGTCCAGTTTATGACAAAAATTACACGGAGGACTTCTTGTTTATAATATAAGCAACATTTAGCTAGCTGTTTCGAAGACACCCAGTACCAAGTAATATTGTGGTTTGAGTACATCTTACTACTGGAAAAATGTTTATGCTTCTTTAGGAATGGCATTATACAGTACTTCCTCAAAGCAAATATAGCTTTGTCTGAAGTTTCCTTGGAAACTCTGCAATGCACTGAAAACATCTGTAATACGATGTTACCAAAGCAGTTTACATATGTCCTTATATGCATATTTTTTATTATATATTTAGTGTTTTATAGAATTTTTTAAAGTTAACATATGATGTAGATATTAATTTTTCCTCTGCTATAAAATGCTATGGACAACATTATCATGAAAATATTGTTTGGAATTTTTTCCTTTCTGACCGAGAGTTCCACGTTGTTCTTAGTCAGCTGGCCGCCACTTTCCTGTATGGTGTCACAGGGCCCCGCGGGGCAGAACTGCTTCCCACCGGGTGCAGAGTGAGCGGCGATCCTTGTGTGACCCCAGTGCTGTTAGCACACGAGACTTTCCATGTTATTCAGAGGATTCAGACTCCAAATGCTCAGAAAGAACGCCACGATCTTGAAACGGAACGCGCAGCTTTTGGTCGTTTGCGGACTACAGGACATGTAGCTGATAATTCTGGCACCACGCAGTAAGGTTCCATTTTTACTGTCTTGAAATAGCTTTGTCTTTATCATGATTAGCATTAAATTGGGAAGGAATGGAGGCAGCGCGGAGATGTCGGGTACCAGTGGGTGTCCCCCGAGGGCCCCGCTGCAAACCCGGCTCATCCCGTGCCCACGTTGCTCCATGGACACCGAGAGCAGCGCTCCGAGACGCAGCGCAGCCGGGCTCAGCGCTGCCCAAACGCTTCCCTCCCTCGTCCCATAGTCATCCTCCTCTCCAGCCCCATTCTGGCACACGCCGGGGCCCGGCAGCGGTGTGGGGAGAGGGAGCCCACAGCTCTTGGAACCCCTCGGAGGAACCCGGAGGCGTAACAGCGGCACGCCGGAAAGCGACAATATCCACAGCAAAAATCATCTTCTTCAGAGAAGGACTGTTTGTTACTACGGGGTACTTTTGTACGTTCACTCAGATGGGATAACGCTAGTACAAGGCAATGGAATTTTCTATAAAGTTTTCAAGTTTAAATGCGCAGCAGTGGTTTACTATTATTTTTTCCTGATAGCTTGAATTTGCCTGTAACTTGTCTTTTTTGCTTACAAAATAACACAGTTAACTTTTAGACCTTCTAAATATATTTATTCAGTAACGCATAATCAGGATTCCACTTGTGTAAAAGTCAGGGGTGTTGACCAGAGAAATATTGTCAGTATTTCAAGCTGTGTTTCTTTCTTAGTTTGATATGGTTACTTCTATGTAAAAAAAAAAAAAAAAAAAGAAAAGAAAAGAAAAAAAAAACACAAAACCAAGAAAAATGGAACAAAAAAAAAAAAAGAGCTGTAGTTTTCTCCCCAGTGTAAATGATATTTATCAGTGAACTAGCAGATGTAACCTTTTTTTAAAGGTATTGTTAATAAATATTCTGTCATTTGTAAAGATACCTGTCTGCCAGGAGCGTTTCTCCCCTCCATCCTTTTGCACCCACAGTGACAAATGTCAGCACCCAGCGCCCACCCGGCTCCTCCCCACACGGGGGGGCGGCAGACAGGTCTGCTTCAGAGTAGATCTATTGGGGTGAGAGCAGCTATTTCTGTAGAGTCCTGAACTTTCAAAGCTTCCATGCAGGTTGGTGTGGTTGCGGTGCAGCTTGGGCATCTCTGAGTCTCACCAAGATATCAGAAAGGATCAGAAACAAAACAAACGCTTCCTTCCCCTCAGGTAAGGCATCGCTTCCTTCTTGTCTTTGTGGATCGTGGCAACGTTTTGTGTTTCTAACTGTGTTAAGTGTGGCAGTGTAAGTTGTGCGATTGGAGCAAATCTTGGGTGTTTCCTTTGGTTTTCCAGAGGAACCCAGTGCACTTTGCCCATCAGTAATGCTTAAAACCAAAAGGACGCGATTCACTTTTTAGAAAGAAATTGTAGAATCACCATCTTCCATGGGAAATGTGCAAAGATTTATTAAAACAATGAAAATAGCCATGATTTCGAAAGGATTTCTGTTTCATTGGAATGCAGCCTAAGCAGTAATTTAAAAATTCATGTTTTAATGTCTTCGTGCCACCGTAGGGCCGTGCAGCACTCAGCCCGGCCACGTGTCAGGCAGTTTCATCAGCTCCCAAGCAGCAGCACAGGCAAGGCTCGTGATGCTGAACATTGCATGGGGAAGGAGAAGCGGTGACACTCAGATGGAGGTAGGGAGCTTGGCACCTGGTGGGGGGCACCTGAGCGTGGCTTTGGGGAAAAAGCACAGAAATCCAGGCGAGGGAAACAACAGACTGCAAATGTTTGTGTTGTTTTCCCCTCATCCCCACCAGCAGTATGGAAAATCCCAAGCTTCTCTGCCACTTCTGAAGCTCCTAGCAGAAATGTGGGTACCTGTCCAAGTGCCCTGAGAGCTGAAGGCTTTCGCTGCAAGTGCAGAGCAGTCACAGTGCACAGCTCAAATGCAAACTACACCGAAATGTACTGCATTAATCTCTGCAGCACCTTTCCATTAATGGGAGTGAAATTATATTTACAAATCTTATTTATTAGAGGACTTGAAGCCGTGACATAAATGAAATACATTACAGTAAATGAATTCTTTCATCTCGTTTTTAGGATTTTACTAATGAAATACTGATTTTCAGACTGTTAAAGCTGGGCACCTCCAATCCATTCCAATCACAAGCAGTAGAGACATTTGAGGCACAAACATTGTTATATTAATGAGCTACATTAATTTTGATGGAGCCATGCTATTTCACCCAGATGAGAGCTGCCTCATTTATTATAATTATTTCTAGTCTTTAGCACCTGGGAGCTCCATTATGTTTAGGCACTTCCCAAACAACTTCATTGCTCAGTGTTTTGTTGTTTTTTTGTCTTCCTATTCCATGCTTACGTGCTTGGGGCAGCCGGGTGGGCAGGAGGCTCTTTGGGGAGGATGCAAAGAGCAGAGCAGCTGGTGAGGGCAGACCAGAGCTTGCTTGGGGCAGGTCTGGTAACTTGCTTGGATGGGTAAGAAGAATGAGCTGCAATCTTGGGCTTGGATTTTCAAACTCACCTGAAGGCAGTTGGAATTACAGATGGAGAAGGGGCCCAGCTCCTTTAGTATCAAAAAGCCTTGGTAAAACCACAGGGAGCTCCTTGGCAAACTTCCTTAGCTCTGCATAACTGAGGGCTGTGTTCCCGGGCTGTGTTCTATAGATCGGTTTGAGGAAAGGCATCAGAACGTGCCAGGAAAGTGCTGCTTTTTGAATTTTTTTTTCCCCCTTACGCTGTAACCTCTTGCACCACCGTCTGAGGGTTGGGGCTTTCACCTCGCCATTGGCACCGCCGTGCTCTTTCCACACCGCTCACAGCAGTTGTTCTAAATGAACCAACAAACAGTGCTGGAACCACAGCCGAGCAGTTCTTCGCATGCGGCTGCCTCAGAAGACGTCGTCGTGCAGAGCGTTGCAGGGGAGGCCCTCGGCCAGGCCTGGCTCCAGCCACGTCTCGCTGGGGCAGCTGCGTGCCCTCTGCAAAACAAGCAGAGCTGCAGCACCAACTGAACCAGCGAGCCATCAAGAGCTGCAGGGTAGCCCACAGCGGCAGTAACACCAGCACCTCACCAAATGTATGCTTTAATTTAGGCATGGAGCGCTCGCAGCAAGCAGCTCCAAGGTCTCATATCCCTGTGCCCTGACCTTCTGCTCACCATGAGCTTCCCTTAAGGACAGCAGGACTGAAGGTAGCGCTGAGATGCCCCTGGGAACAGAACAGCCTCTGTGCGTTCCCATTTCCTGGCTGCGGTGTTAATGTTTGCCATTTCTCACATTCTTATTTGTGATACTCTAAGTCATATTATTTTACACCCGTGGCTTTGATTAAAAACAAACATTTGCTAATCTTTTAAGCCTGTTTCCTTGACCGGACCATGGAATAATACCCCGAAAATCAAATCTCTATTCTGAGGGGACAAATTAAAATCAAGTTAGTGAGCAGCACTTCCTTGAGCAGACAATGAGGAGTTTTATCTTATCTGTAAGGCAAATGTATTTACCGGGAAAGCGACAGCAAACATAATAAGGCTTAAAACCAGCTTAACAGTAGGACACGAGCATCTCTCACCGTTCGGTTTCCCAAAACAAATCAGCTCTGCAGGAGCTGAGCTCCAGTCCCTGCCAAGGCACGCCGTGCCTGGCCGCGCTGCTGCCACAGGAGGCAGGGCTGGAGAGACAGCACACAAGCGTTCCCTCTGTTGGTTAAGAAAAACCGAAAGCGATTAAGATATGACTTTACCTCGTAGTGATTTGGAAAGGGATCTCTGAACTTGATCCTGGGCGTCGGAATGGGCGGAAACAGTTTGCTCCACGTGTGTTGTCTGTGGGAAACAGAGGCGAAGGGCTGTGAGGGCACTGCTGGGTGCTGAGGAAGCGCCCAACCTGCGGGCACCAGCAGCCCTGACTGGGGGAGCAGTGCAGGGCTGTGCCTGAGGGCAGCCTGGTTTGGGAGTTCAGGACAGGCTGCCCTGTGCTCAGATTGTGGTTTCTGGACATAATCTGTGTCTTGGCAGGAGAGCAATTGCAAGGAATTGCATGGGTTGCCTGTAAGCTGCTGCATTTAGTGGTGATGAGTTGATGGTCGGACTGGATGGTCCAACGCGTCTTTTCCAACCTTAGTGACTCCGTGATTCCTTATTCTGGCCCAAGCAGTTGCACATTCGTGGTAGCAAGAGCTGCAGTGCAACCGTTTCCTTGCATCTGACACAGCTCAGAGTACAGAATACACATCTCAGTCACCAAAAGGCTCTGTCTGCCAAGGTCCAAGCAGGGCCCTACTTTAATGGGAACGTGGCCAGCGTGAAGGTGACAGGACTTAGCTCAGGAGGAGCGTGCAGAGCCTGCTGGGGACCGGCCTGGTGCCCACGAAGCAGAGGTGAGGCTGAGGCATGGCTGCCCTGCAGCACCTGAGCCCTGGGCACTGCATCCAGCCCCGCTCCCCTGCCCCATTTGTTCTGTGACAGCTCTGGCTGATCTCTGGTTCATTGAGCACTTTGGTTACTTTGACTTTCCTTCTAAAGCTTTCCGATTTCTGTCAAGTTTTCTTTTATCCTATTATTCCTCCTCAGCAGGGAGTCTAAAATAAATTCCTGCTGCTAACTTACCCTTTTCCATAGCTTTCATTTTGAGACAGAAGAAAAATCCTCATCTCTCTCCCACCCACCCTTCCTCAAAGCATTTTCAATCAGTTTGGAGCTAAACCTTCCTGGCTGAGCGGCTGCTGCCTTTAAGGAGACATTGATTGGGAACTGATTATTTGCTGAAGGGAGGGGAAGTACCAAGGCTGGCACAAAGCAAGATCTGACTGAGCGAGTTATGGGATGTCTGCCATTGCTGTGCATGGACCGGAGCTTGGGAAGGCATGCAGCCAAGAAAGGAATGTGCGCACCCTGGTGCAGGCACTCCATCTTCACAGCTCCTACCACGAAGAGCAAAGTGATCTCAGAACAGTAAATGATCAGTTGTGCTCAGCAGAAACAGGGGGATCTGAAAAGGCCCTTTGTTGTGAGGTGGCATTTCTGTGGGCATAAAGAGGGACTGGTTTGTGCTCTGCCTCTTCCCCCAGCTTCTAGCAGGGGCCAGATCTGGAAGGATATCCTTTGTATCCAGAATATCCTTTGTGTCCTGGCCTCCCAGGAGGAGAAATAAGTTTAGCTCTGTCCACACTGGTTCCACAGCCCCAGTGGCACATGGTTTTCAAAGAGCTGAGGGAAGGCTGAGTGACCCGCTGCCACCTGCCTCGGGGTGCCCAAGTTCAGTTCAGCTTCAGCCAAAGGGACCTGGGGCAAGGCTGCTGCCAGGAAAGATGGAGAATTTGGGAAAGCAGCTCAGGGAAACAGCAGCAGGGGTGCAACCTGCTCTTACCTCAGTCTGAGTGTGGTTTTGATTTATACTACTGCTGCATAACGTAACCAAGGAAGTGTGGTTTTCTTCGGAGCTGGTGCATTTGTAGTTGTGCTGTTTATCAATGAAAGATTTTGATGGAGCTGTGCCCTAATCATTTATTGAGTCAGCAATTAAGTTACACATCACTTCTGGACTGGAAACACTTGAGGATGGGTGCAAGAGTGCCCAGCAGCACTGAGGTTGGGAGCACAGCCGGGTTCGTGGTGGCTGCATGCCCCTCAGGTGCAAGGGTCCTTGCAATGGGGCAGTGCTGTGGTGCTTACAGTGATGCTCTCAGTATGGTCCTGGTCTTTTTTTTTTTTGCAGAACACTGAAAAGTGAAGTGATCAAATATTTTGTCTCAAAAAAGTAATCTAGACATCTGTGTTTGCCTTTATATGGCTTAGACCACGGCCCTTGCTGTTAGCACCACTTGGACCATTAGGCTTTGGAAATGCCCTGTGGGCCCCTCCAAGCTTCACTCTGCTTCAGATGTTGTGCTGTGTCTTTCTTTCTAAATTTGCTACTTTCCCATGGGCTGGATTTTAGAAGGCCAAAGATAAACAGAAATAAGAGAATACATTCTTTTTCTCTCTTGTAACCTCCGTGATGAGACGGATAAAATACTTGATTTCACATTTTGCTGGAGTGCCTTTACTGACAGCATGGCTCCCGAGATTCTCTGTGACCTGTTCCAAATGACGGCCCTGCAGCAGGTGCTGGGGGGCTGCTGGCCATGGGCTGTGTGGGGTGCAGACAAGAAGGGGAACAGGGCAGAGCAGGGTGGGCATCTTAGGGTATGCAGGGCAATCCTCTTGGGGGATCTCCTCCAGGAGAAAGCATTGCTCAGAGACAGAGGTGAGGAAGCGTAGAGGATGCTCAATCATGAAGACAAAGGGTAAACTAGGAAAGCATTCAATTGTGCTTTTCATCAAGACAGTTTCCTCATCTGTTACTGCAAGTAAGCGAAAAGGTTCTCCAAAAGGCTACTTTTCCTTCTAGCTGTGATCTTTACCTCTGCTTGTATCACAGAAAAATGTATAGAACCCTTTAGTAGAATGAAATTCCTTATAATGTCTTTAAATTGCATGAAATTTCAAATGATTCCGTGGCTTGAATTGCGTGGTACACTTCATGAATTTCCAACAGCGGGAAAAACTGGGATTATTAATGAAATTGTGATATAGGGAACCTGTTCTACTGTTCTTTTTTTAATATCTGCAGACACAACAAACATACAGGCTAACCGCTGTGCTTCATCTTTATGCACCTCCTGCCTCCTCCCAGAGTGGGCCAGTGGGCTAGAAAAAGGGACAGTGAGGTAAAGAAGTGGCCAGGGGACACATCAGGCTGACCACTAATTCAAAATGCACTACAGAAATTAATCAGAAATTAGCAGAGTTGAGGATGGCACTTAAACTGAGGGGAACTGTGTGTATTGTGAAGCAGAAAACTGATGCTTGCTGCTTGTTTCAGGGAAAAAGCTTGTAGTTACGTGGATTCTCTAATTCATCACTTATGGCCTGACCAGTCACTGCTACTGAAATCCAACACAGCTGGCTTTCTTTACAGCACGTTCTTGGAAGTTTGGCTATGTGGAAGCTGTTTTAGCATCCATAGCCTCTGCAGTATTTAAAAATAAGCTTAAAAACTCACAACAGCCAATACTTGAATGCATTTGTTCTTGTCAAGGGGTGACAAGGAGCAGAAAGCTCAAAAGATCACTGGAATTTTTACCTCTTCAGAGCACATACCACACTGTTGACATACAGACTACTTGCCCAGGGTAGAACACTGTGTGTACCTGTGCTGGCCAATGAGAAAATCATGGACTGCGTGTACGTTTTGGCCATGAAAGATGGTCTCATCAGTTTTACTGAGGTTAAAGACAGAATCCCCCTCTGGAACTCATAAACTCTGTAACGTCCACTTAAGTGAGGAAATGAGATATGGACAAAAAGCCTTTTAGGGAAATGTTCTCTCTTGATATATGGGGTTCTCTTTGTTTTAAAATTAAATTGAATGACCCTCTTAACCCATCAGTTTGGCTGAATATTATTATTGATAATTAATGAGGCTGATTCTTCCCTATTCAGTACTTTTGCTTTGTGTAATTACGCTTGAATACAAAACTCCCTTCCAAAAATTAAGCAAAGCTTTTAATGACCCCCAAGCCTGTTCAACACCTATACTTAGGTAAACTGAAGAAATTAATACTTAGAAGAAATTAATACTTACGATTTGCATACTATAGCAATAAGCGTGACCGTACAGCATGTGGATACACAAAGCACAGCAAGACTCCAGACTATCAGATTCTCCTGTTTGTTTTCTCCTGAGTATCAGGGAAAAAAAAATACATGTACTTTAGTGCAGATGTCATTTTAAGCATGCTTTTACAAAAGGTTTCATCGGCTGTTTTCTATTCATATCACAGTTTAACATGCAAACTATGCCGACTTGGTATCTCAAATTAAAAATGAAATGTAAAGCTTCAGGAATAGATTCTGTTATGCTGACATTCTGACTTCCTCAATACACTTCTTTCACTGCACTGCCACCAAGCAGAGCAACCTGGCCCGGCAGCACTGCCAGGGTGCCAGCCTGTGTCAAACCTCATCCCCAGATGCCCAAGGCAGCAGAGGCACTGCTTGCTTGTAGCCTCAGGCACAACCTGTTTGTTTTCCATTAAATTGCTCTTCACTTCTGCTCACCCTTTGCACAGGAACTGCATTTCTCTGCCTTCGTAAACTTGCCTGTAAAAAAGATGTTGAAACCTGCAGTTTTTCCTGTGAGCTGTTGCTGATGCATTTCCTCTGGGAGGTCTTCTCTACTGCCTCTGCCTGCGAGCAGACACAGGTATTTCTACCAAGGTCAACGTTTTTATTTTAGAAAGGCATGCTTAGTGACCAGGACCATTACTTTGTGCCACATTACGCCATATAACAAAAACATTTACATTGAACTGCATTTTCAAAAGGTTGCCGAGTCCGTGTGTGCTTCTGATAACTACCAGTCCTATGTATCAAATGTCAGCGCTGCCATTACCAGGTAATTGAGAGGACATAAATCGGCCAGCAGCAGACACCTTGGTTTTATTGGTGCAGTAGAAAAAACACAGTATTGAATTTGGGCCAGATTTCTTCCTAAGAAACAAGGAGCTGAGTCTGGTGTCTCAGAGTAGGCAGTGGGAGCAGGGCTTGGGTGCTGCCATGAGCTTGCATCAATGTGTCCTGGGCCTTCGTGCCACTGAGACAGAAATCCCCAGCTGCAAACATGGCTTATTTATTGCTTTTGGATGGCTTATTTAGTCTGCAGTGCTGTCACTTTTCTTTCAAGAAATCAGGAGTGTTACTGTCAACCCAGCTGGGTTATGCCCAGTGCAAACAACTTGCGAAGGCTGCCATCATAAAGGCTGGGAAGCATTGTTTCCCAAACCAAAACCAGAAGAGTCCTAAGTCTTTTCCATATTATGGTTGATGGTGCTCCCCAGAGACTTTGAAGACCTCCTAGTACCAACCCCTTGCCATGGGTAGGGGTGCCAGTCATTAGACCAGGTTGCTCAAAGCCTCATGCAGTCTTCAACATGTAAGAGAGACAGAGAGGGAATAAAGGAACCATCCTGAGAGCCACACAGAAAGCTGGCAGCAGAGTGGATCAGAATGGCTGAAATGTGTACTGAAATCCAGCAACTAATGGAGTAACCTCTGCTGGGTCAATGGATTGTAACAAGCCTCTAAATATCCCCTTTCCTAAGATAAACTGAAGAAGCTGATCCTGTTCTTGGATACGTTTGAGATTTTAGTCTTTGTTGGTTTTTTTTTTGAAAAAAAAAAAAAGGAAGACTAATTTCCTTTTTGTCTCGTTAAATAACTAAATGAATTTCTCATATTTGGTATTTGCTGCCTCTTAGTAGAGGAGTCATTTACAATTATGTTTCCTGGTTCCCCAGCTGCCATCATGCTGCAGGATAGAGATGGCTTCAGAAGTGCTTCAGTTGACAGAGCTTCTCTCAGATTCTTCAGAATTGCTGGGAAAGCAGAACTGGGACAGCACAGATGTGCTGTGAGTACTTTCCAGCCCCAAACTTGATATAATCATCTGTTAAGCCGTGAGCCCTGGCAGTGGGTTCTCCCACATACCAGCCATGAGTATTTTGTTTGACTGCAGCACTTCTAAACAACCTCTCAGAGAAAGGTGGGATCAAGGTGAGCTTTTAACAACGCCGCTTTGGCAGCACGTGGCTGCACTGCACAGGGTTTGATTAGCACAGCCCAAGGAAAGGATTCAGAATTGGATTTCAATTTTTAGCAAAGCTAGAGAATGCTGCAGAGGGAAGGGAGAAGTACAGTAGACTTTCTTTTGCCTTTTTTTTTTTTTAGTGAAAACCAGGAAGTGAAGAAACTCAAAAGATGTTAACAGCAAAGCAGGATGTCTAAGAACAAACAGTTGATAACGTGCCATGATAAGAAAACTGCTGCTCCCTGAAAAAAATTATGCTCAGTAGGAAACACAGAACGAAGTGGGGCAAATGATCATATTCCAAAGACCACGGTGGTTTGGTTTGTTTTAAGATTTCAGGTAGCTCCAGTAAGGTAATCCTGGGGTGACCTCTCACAGTACCTTCCAGCATTAGCATCTTGGAGCATCTACTTATGCTGTTTTCTATTGAAATTAAGGGAGTGTTGCACATGCTGATGGTTTGGGCAGTACGTGCTTTCCAACAATGTATTACTCCTTCATTACAAGACTGATGAATGCAATCCTTACCAATATAAAGAATTTCACTCCAGTCACTCCAGAATCCATTTACAGCACACATGTAATGATTTGCTCTTATCTGTATGGAGTATCTGCAGGTAACATCAATCCGTAATCTGAAGTCATGTGAATATGTTTTTGATACCTGTTAACAAAACAACACCATACTGTCACACATTATTTAAGACCAGGAAATCTAGAAAACAGATTAATCATGTTTGTTTTTTTTTTTAATTTTTACAAGCTTCTTTAGTAGACTTGCACTGAACATCACACACTGCTTTGGAGAAAGTTGTCTGACTTTACAGGTGCCATTCCTCTCCTTATGTATCAGTATTTCAGAGCAAATCTTGTGAAATATGCTTTATTTTGGATTCTTCCTTAAGACCCTTAATGGTGGATGTTGAGAACTGTCCACCATCATCCTTCTGAAGGCAGAACACAGTACAAGGGAGTAACCTTCTCGTTTTTCTGTTTTCCAAGGTCTCTTGGAGATGGTTTGTTGCAGGCATAAATGATATCCAAAAAGGACATAAAACATGAAAACTGCTGAGATTTTGGCTTTGTTGAACCCTAGTCACAAATGAGACCCAAGTTTCGCCAACAGCCCATAGTTTCACAAATGCACTGAGAGCAGATTTTAATTTAAATGATCTTAAATGTGTACCATGTTTATGAATACAAAGGCTTTTTCTCCAGGTTGCATGAAGTCAATCTTTATCCATACAGGACAGTGAGTGTCAGGAGTGAAATGTAATGCTGGGGCACCAGAGAAGCAATTACCTGCTTGTTACCTGACTTCAAGTTGGTGAGGTAAAATTCGTATTCAAAACAGCCTTTAGGGAAAGTAGAAAGTGGCTTCTCCCATGTGGCCACGAGATCATTTTGCTCTAAGAATACAGTGACATTTCTGGGAACATTCACCTTCTCTATGAAAAGAAAATCACACCAGTAAGTTATATACAGAGTGAAGTTTAAATACTAGCAATTGAAACAGATTATAAATCGATCAAGTGTTCAAATGCAGCCTATACTTTCTGAAGTTATTTCACATTTTAGGCAGAAAATGTAAAGATTAAAGAGGAATAGGTGTATTGCACAAAATAATTAAAGGAAAAGAACTTTAAAAATCCACTTATAAGATCAGAAAAACTGGATTATTGAAGGAGAAGGTTATTAAATTACTCTTTGCAAAGTCATGAAACTAATCATAGACTGATTCAAACCGTTTTGTTTCTTTTTTTAACCAGGAAAGTTACTGAAATCTGGAAAAAAATCAAATGACCAGCAGCTATTTTGTGGATTGACAACATTCTCTCACAAGTCTTTCACAGTTCTGCTGGACTTTATTCATTGAGCTGTTTGTTCATTTGCTTGTTTCTACTCACCAATGGCATTTTGGTTAAACAACTGCTGGAAAGGCTTGATTGCAGCATACTTGCTGGAGCCATTAATGTGTATTACAATGAGCTCATCAATCTCACCGGGAACAATACGAGTCACTGAGAACCTGCACTCTGTATTCCTGTTCCACTTGTCTTTGATGTAATGTTGGCATTCTTCCATGTAGGTCTCATACCTAAATTAAAACATCTGTGAGAAATGCTCTCCAAAAAATTTTGTGTTGAGTAAAATGGGAGAAGACACCAACCTGTAAAATAGAAAGTACTCAGTATCTTCTGGTGCCCCTTTACCAGGAAGCCAAGTGCAATGGAGAGAAACAGTGCTAGAAATGGTGAAGTGAGTAACACAGGACAGATCAGTGACAGCTGTATTTTCAGCACCTACAGAAACACAGAATTATAAGACAGGAAGAAAATAAACACTTACTACAGAAGTTGCATGAAATTGGCACTTCTAAGACACTTTGACTACAGTCTTTTGTCCATTTTTATCTAGGTTTTGTCCAGTCCTGGTACTGATCACACAGTTCTACCAGTTATGGAAGGATGGAGATTCCAAAAAACCACCAAGTAAGGCTGTAGCACACAGCACCATGACGTACCTTCTGTACACCTTAGGATTCAGGCAGTGTTTTGCCATCCTTGAGTGGATGGGAGTAGGTTATCTCAGCTTTAGCAAGCAATGTTTAGAATATTTTATATGGGTTACCTATGTTGCATCTTCAGATTGTATAGCAGGCTGTGGAGCCATACAGAGAGGCCTGGATTAAATGATTCTGTAAAACCATTGCAGCAGGTAGAGTGAGAAACGCTGTATTATTCAGCATTAAACCTCTCAGCTTCTGATGTCTACTCCATAGACCAGTAGAGAACACAAATTCAGACCTTTTTCTCATTTCTTCTTACCCGGTGGAGGCTGGAGTTCTGCTGTCACCCAGTCGCTCATCATCTGAAGACCCTGATGGAAAAGTAACGTGCGGACATGTGCCGAGAAACCATTGTGGAGTACAGCTGTTTGGAGACTGTGAGTCTTCATTGTATCATACTTGAAAATTGAAAGAAGAAAGAAAGAAAGAAGCAACACAAGATAGAAGCTTAATTAAGGGATCTGCTGAGAGTGGTCTACAAAGGACAGGCTTTTAGCTGAGCGCCTCACTACGTGGTTGCTTGAAACCATCACATGCATCACACCTTCTGCTCCCCTGTTGAACTCAACAAGAAGTCAGCCTTCTTAGCACCCTGGACTTATTTTTATCTTACCTCTTCAAACACAGGAGTTAAGATTTTCACATCGTATCTAATGGTGTAGTTTTTTTGTTCCTGATTAGGACTTAGCTTCCAGCTTAGAAGTACTTGTGCTAATGCAGAGACTGTAAGGGTGAAGTTAACAGGTGGGAAAACCTGAACTGTAAGGAAGAAAACAAAAAAGTCTTAGTGCAGTAATCCTAAAAAAGTTGTTTAGGCCAATACCTGTAGATAACGTAGTGAGCAATACAAGAAAACAAAAATATTATATCCTATTAAATTATAAATAATATAATAAAACTGTATTATATTATATTCTCTCAATAGTTTCTCTCAAAGCATTTCTGATATTTGAAAAATACATTTAAATAACAACCAAAACTTCATCAAATAAGAGTTTACTTAAAACTTAGCTTAAGAAAGTTATTAATTTTTTTTTTTTACAATGGTTTCATCTTTATAATTACAGTAACACATTACATTTGGCTTATTAATTGGATTCAGGCTTTTCAGTTGGATCCCCTAGAGAACTGGGCATCTGTACTGAGCAGGGTCGATAAGCGACCAGCCAAACAATCCATTCTTATTGACCCAGTCTTGCAGAACAGCATGATGTGGGGGCTGACTACGTGAAGGCTGACAGCCACAAGAAGACATATGTGAGAGGAAAAAAAAGCATGATGAACAGAGGAATTAGGCATAAGTGGAAGAAAACATAGAAAGGATGAGAATGATAATTTAAAATGACAAGGCAAAAGGGATTCCTGGAGCTCTTATGGAAATGAAGAAGATCTCGTGCTGGGGAGAAATGTTAGCATATAAATAGCAATGCAGTGAAATTATCAATCTACTCTCTTCCATTTCTGGAGTGCTTCAGAGCCCATCCTCCCTCATTTGCCATGTCCCAGGCAGCTTTTAATGCCCGTTTCTTCAACTTTCAAGCAAGTGTTTGGCATTAGAGAAATGGCCTCCTGAAGAGTTAGAAAACCCCAGCACCAACTGCCCTGAACTGCTTGCTCCAAAATGTTCCTTGTTGAGTTGCCCACAAAAAATGCCAATGTTAAGGTTCTTGATGTGCCAGGACAGAGATCAGGGCTGCTGCTCTCAATGTTCTATGCTGCCTTGTTTCTGCTGATAGGTGCAGTTTTATTCCTGGATGTAAAACTGTCCGGAACACTGCTGTTGTTGGAAGGAAAAGAACTTACCTGCTTTACACTGAAGCGTGGGGGGCTGGACTACGATTCTTATCCAAAGGAGCATCAGACAAACTCTCATCATGCTGGCTATAAAGTTTAGATGGTCAGTGAGAAACACCATGCATCAGAGTACATGGCTTGCAACCGTTTTGCAGACAGGCTGATAGCTAAAACCAAGCACAAGCCCAAGCGTTAAGCACGCAGACCATGGAGCATGCTACAGGTAATCACAGCTACATGACCAAAGCAATGAAACCTTGCAGGGCACAGAATTTTCTCCTTCCCTTGCAGGAAGATACATCTCGTTGAAGCTAAAATTAAGTACAATTAACCACATCTCATTTTGCTCCCTTTGTTTTTTCCAGGCCCCCTTGAAAAAGCTGCTGTTTCCAGCACTGCCATGCGTGGATGCTCAGGGCAGCGGTCATGGACCTACAGCATCTCTTAGCAGAGAGAGTTGGCTTCAGGTAGGTTGGCTTTCGGTGGAGACCCATTCACTCCAAGAAAAACAGCAGAAATAGCTGTCTTTTTAGCTGCCACTGTATATAAAATGGCTGCTTGCTGGAATTTACTCTCCGGTTTCCATTTCACTGAGAAGCAGTCTCAGCGCTCACCTCAAGGCTAATTCTCCAGTGTTAATTACTGGGGGTAAGAGAAACTATTTTGTTTGTTTCTAATTTAAATGAGCGACTATTTTTAATGCTTGAAAACAGCATGTTCCTATGCTTCCTACAGATTGCTTCATGAAGTACTGAGGGGAAAAAAAATCCGTGTGTTATCATTCATGTATAACCTAATATAAACAACATGGAAATACAGAACAGCAGCTTTCCAAAATGTTCTCACAGAAGAGAAATACGCCCTCCTAGCCCAATCACACTGCTTCCCTGGGGCATCTACACAATTGCTTGTATGAAAAACATAATATTTTCAGACGGTAATGAGCAGAGAAAGCATCTTTAACCCATCAGTTCTCACTGAACCTCCAATAAATAACCCAGGGACTGGAAGCAATCCAATTGATCACAGTTGGAGTACTTCTGCTACACAATAACTATTTTTAAAAATGGTGTATGAGTGCTTAGTTCGTTAAAATGATGCATAATTCACAATGCAGTATGTTTCTTAATGTCCAAGTCTGCTCATTATCTGCATTTGTTTTCTGTGTGTATCTGGTATTCTGCCAGGCAAAGCGTCCATGAGGCTAATTGAACCTCTAGAGTTTTCTAATGGATTATTCCTGGAGAGTCAGCGCTTGCTTTTGCATAGGTTGGGTTACTGAGACATTTTGGTCAGATATTTTGGTTCTTCCAGAATACACATGAAACAGGGCACTGTTACCTATACCATACCTTTATGCTTAGACAATGCCCCAAGATTTTTTCCAATTGCATTACCATTCGTGAACGGTATCACAGTCTGTGATAACAGGTTTGTCTCATGCGATGGAATCTTGAAAATACAATCAAAAAGTTAACAAATACCTACAAACAAGATTATGCTCCCCACAAAAACGGGCATAGTAAGTTCTCAGGATGAGTAAAAGCCTTGTTTATGGTTTTGGTTATGCGCAGTAAAAAGCAGTGAGGAGAAAGTCAAAGAGGCATTCCCTTCATGGAAGGGTCTATTCCTTCATAAAGTGCAGTATAAATCTAAACACAGTGAGCAGCTGAATTGGTCATGATTTTCTTTCTTACAACTGACACACGAGTTCTACTGAGAGGCAATTGGTCAGGAGCAGATTCCAGATGCACTTCCCACCATAATGCAAAGATGACTTTTCAAAGTGGGGCCAATCTTCAAACAAAGCACAGAAAGACAGAAAAACAGACTGCAATGTAAATCCCAGGAGGTTACCTGCAGAGTCTCCGAAGCTGTGTGAAGAGCCTCCTCTGTTTGTTCAAAAGTCTTCTGGGTCGTCTCCCTGCGGGTTCCTTTTGCAACTGCTGTCTTTTAAGCACAGATGTGATAGGTTCTTCAGAAATGATAGGAGATGATAAGATAGACAAGCCTGCATTGTAAAAGGGAACTGCAGATTTAACCACAGGATGGAAGGCTCTGTTCTAGCACATGGTTTTACTTTATGTATCGAGGATTAGTTCTATACCATGGTATAGAATCTACTTGCAAAGCAAAGAATCTACTTGCTGACCAGTGCCATCATCAAGTTGTTCATCCCCTAGAAAATCAAATCCTAGTGTTGCTGGAAGACCATGCGGTATTACCTTGTCCAGTCATCCTGCCATACAGCCATATATCTGTTGGTGGTATTTAGAGAAATTACTGGCACCAGAACAAGACCAGCTTCCCAATCTTGTGCAGAGAGCTCTGAGCTGTGATCCATAGGAAGGCTGGATAAGACAGGCTCAAAAGGAGTGGAAAACGACCTAAGGGCACAGAGAAAGCAGAAAGTGAGTCTGTTCGTAATAGGCCTAGGTAGGTCATGTTCATTAGAAACCTGGATTGCAAATACAGAAAACCCTTCTAAATGTGAAGGTGATGCAAGCTGGTAGAGGTGAGTTCTTTGGGGGCTAGAACTCGATTTAAGCAAGTTCTTCAAAAATCAGTGAAAATTGGGCACAGTTCAGCATGGTCAAGCTCTCAACTACATTTAGGTGCTGTTAACTGCAAATTACAGGCTATTAGTAATCAACTTGTGATTAGGTATCTGCTCTACAGAAAAGGATCTGGGGTTATGCCAGGTCATAAACCACAGAGGACTCAACAACTGTTGTGCACTTGTGAAAAAGGCGTGCTGGGGCAGCTGGAAGCTGGCATCCTCTGCGAGACACATGAAGCAATCTTTCTGCTCTGCTCAGCACTGATAAAGCCCCCACTCAATGCACTGCCCCGTGCAGATGCTGCACTGGAGAAAGAAACGGAGCAAACAATGGGAGGTCAGTGTACAGTGATGGATGCTACGAAAACCAGAACCACTCAAAACAAATTAGGAGAATGCCCATGCGGAGGTGCAATCTTAGAGCACAAATGAAGGCTTTCACCTGTTTTCCAAGTCCATTGCAGTGGGGAGCTAGAAATAAAAGGTAATGACAGGTAAAATTCAGGTTAGGTATGAAGGGAACTTTCAGTGCTGGGGGGGGGGGGGGGGGGGGGGCACTATGGCTGGGCACCTTTAGACAAAGTCAGCCAGGAATGAGGGTTGTAAGGAAATCCTGCCAGGAGGCACGGAGATACGTGAGGTGCCCTGTTTTCTGTATCTGTGCACTCCTGAATAAACAGCTAACTGTTGAGCAGGGAGCTCTGACAGCTGCAGCTCGGCGTTACAGCAGAAAGGAGGTTGTTTCTAAAGGTGAGGCAGGATATTTAACAAAAGAAGCAGTCACAAAAAGAACAGGTAAGAAAAGGTTATGTTCTCATGTTCTTACACAAGCCTGACAAAATTATTGTAAATGTGAGATGTTTTTGGCAATAGGTCATTCCCCAAAACCCTTTTATGCTCGCAAGCACTCTCCTTTCTGCAGCAAAGTGCTGATCTGTTGGGTGCTTGAAAGGCTGAACAGATCTGTATAACATCTCTTTTCAGGTACAAAGAACCCGTAGCATTTTTGGCAGAGGCAGATTTATTCCGGCTTGGAACTTCAAAGGCAACCAAGCGGTGTGTTTGAGCAGCTCTGCAGCACCGCTCTGCAAATCTCACACATGGAACCAGCGGCGTGACGGCACGGCATGGAGAGCAGACGGGGACCCCCAGCTGTGCCTGGGATTTGGCACAGGGCTCCCACCCAAATGTTTCCACACGTTAAAAGCTGAACGAACTCAGGAGCTGCTCCTGCACGTAGTTCAGCAGCCACAGCGCTTAAAGCTGTTTCAGGATCGCTGACGGGACCTCGCAACCAGCGCACGGATGGACGCGGCGCGGAGGATCGTGAAGGTTTCACAACACGTGGAGGTGTTTAGAGCTTTTTCCCGAGGAACACGGGCACGGTGGGGATGGGACGGCGGCGGTTGTTCTCTGCACACCGTACTGACGCGTGCTTCCGCACCGCCGTGGAACGGGGCTGAGAAACAAACAGCGCAGCGCGGGGCGCTACAGCGGGACCGCGGTTACAGAGCGAGGCGGAGGGAGAGCAGCGATGCGCGGATCGGCCGGCAGGGGGCGCCCGCGAGCAGCCTAAGAGGGAGGGCGGGGGGCGTGGCTGGGTCGCGCCGCTGATGTCATCGCTCTGCGCCGCGCCGGGGCCGCACGGAGCCGCTCCCCGGGCCTAGCGAGGCCGGCAGCCCGCGGGTGAGTGCGACGCTCCTGCGAGGGGCCTCTCCCCTCTGCTCGGGCCCGCGGGCTGACGCGGCGTTTCTGTTTCTCCCCAGATGTGGGCTGAGGTGTTGCTTCTGCCCTGCAGGGCTCGGCTGCTTCCGCCTCTCCGGTTGCGGCACCGCGCGCCGCGCGCCATGAGGCTGCAATCCCCGCAGTTCCAGGCGCTCTTCACACCGGGGCTTCGCAGTGTGGCAGGTGAGGGCCGGGCGGGGCCTCTCGGGAAGGGCTGTGGCGGCTCCGGGTCCCTCACAGGTGGGGGCTGTGGCGGCTCCGCTTTTGTTCTCGACTGTTTTCTTCTCCTTGTCAGAATTGTTTGAGAAGAAGAACTACGAGCTGAGAATCGCGGGAGGGGCCGTGAGGGATTTGCTGAGCGGAATGACGCCTCAAGATGTGGATTTCGCCACTACGGCTACACCCGAAGAGATGAAGGAGATGTTCACGTCTGCTGGGGTTCGGCTGATCAATAACAAAGGAGAAAAACACGGAACCATCACGGCCAGGGTTGGTTCGCGGTCGGGCTGTGGGTTTTCTCTTACAATCTGTATCAGGTGGGGAAGCCGATTCGATGCTTCCTGCTTTCTCGGGTCCTGCTTCCTCTGTCTGCACGTTCCTTTGCTTTAAGCCTGCAGGCACCTTCCTGCAGACGGCTTATGTGGAAATGAGCTCTGTTCTGAGGCATCTGTGAGTTTCGGTGTCAGCTCCGTGTGGAAGCACAGCGTGTGTTTGTGTACAGTTTGTGCTCCAGCTGCCTACATGCAAACCGACGTGGGGCAGGAAAATAGATAGCCTTTGTATCTGTATCCACGTTGAAATAACGATCTCTGTGGGATTTTCAGCTCCATGAACAGAATTTTGAAATTACTACTCTCAGAATAGATATTGTCACCGATGGACGCCACGCAGAGGTGGAATTCACCACCGACTGGGAAAAGGATGCTGAAAGGAGGGATCTGACCATCAATTCCATGTTTTTAGGTAAGATTACGCAAAAGAAAATACGTAGATCAAACACCACTTTTCAAATCATGCCAGTAAATTTTCCCTCTCCTTTTTGCATTCTGTTGGTTTATACTGCTGTCAGCCAAAAGGTCTGCACAGATATGGCAACCCACAGCAAGTGACACCATTTGTCCTCTGCATTTTCAAATAAGAGTGTTTCTAAATTCCTGTTGATGTTTTTTCATCTTCTAGGCTTGGATGGGATGCTGTATGATTTCTTTAATGGATATGAAGACTTAAAGAACAAGAAAATAAGATTTGTGGGAAAGGCAAGCGCAAGAATACAAGAAGATTATTTACGAATCCTAAGATACTTCAGGTACCAGCTTTCACCTTGTCTGGATGAAGAGATGGTATAAATAAGTACTTCTGATGACTCATTGGAGATGTAGAAATAGAGTTCCATGGAGAAGGTTGTAAACCAAAATTCAGACAATGTTTTTTCCTCACAAAATGATGAGAGAAGCGTATTTTTGGCTTCTACTTTCTCTGTGTGAACAAGAAATACGCTGTCCTTTGCAAACAGTCTTTGTAACAGTACTGTTTCAAGTATAATTTAAAACAAAGTAATAAGTTTATTGACGTCTATCTGTTGACATGTAACCAAAAGAAGTACAGTTACTTTGCCCTGAAGCTTCATGCAGTCTGGGAGAGGAGAGTAAATCTGATCAGGATTGATCTATTTGCTTTGGACAGTGTAACAACGTAACCCACCTTGTGCCTTTTTTTTTGGCACTGAACTTCTGCACATCATATAATCTCTCTGCAGTTTCCCTTTTAGTACTCTTGGTGAAATTGAAAGAGCAGGCAGGAGCTTTAAGCTTCACGGTAGAAAAATGTTGCAGAGATTTCAGAAACTATAATGTTTTTGTCCTCCACTGTTTTAATGTAATTTTCCATGAGTTAATTCTGTGAGTAGCAATAAGAAATGACTGGCAAAATTAACATGGAGCGGTTTTCTTGGGGCAGGTTTTATGGGAGGATTGCAGAAAAACCTGGCGATCACGAATCGAGCACCCTGCAAGCAATTAAAGACAATGCCAAAGGTTTGGCTGGGATATCAGGAGAAAGGATTTGGGTGGAACTGAAAAAAATTCTAATTGGAAACCACGTAAATCATTTGGTTCGACTTCTGTATGAGCTGGACGTCGCTCAATACATAGGTAAAGTTAGATGACTGTAAATGTTACAGGAATAGGAAATCAAGGAATTGCAGCACAGCAAAGGAGATGAAACTCGTTTGTTTTTACCTTTGTTAATGTCCCTGTTTCTTGTTAACGCCTTATTGAACTTTTTCTCTTCAGGTTTACCAGGTAATGGAAATCTGGAGGAACTTGACAGAGTCAGTATAAATACTGCAAATTTGTGTCCAAAACCCATGACTGTTCTGACATCATTGTTCAAGGTGAAGGATGATGTAACAAACCTTGATCTGAGGCTGAAAATCTCAAAAGAGGAGAAGAACCTTGGCTTCTTTCTGCTGAAACACCGTGAGGAGTTAACTAAAGCGACGGGGCCAGAACCACTGAAACCATATCAAGACTTCATAATGGATGTAAGTGTACTTGATATTGCTGCA